CGCGGATGAACCTGACCATGATGAGCGGTCGTGGCGCGCGCAGTACGGAGAGGTACGTGTGCACGTGCACCATACTGGTCAGCTCGAACACCTGCCGCAGGCGGCAGACACGAGTGAGATCATACTGGCATCCCTGCCTCCAGCGAGAGGAGCGAGTCGGATCGCACTGAATTGTAAGCGATGGCATGACATGTAATCAATCACCCATTCAAACACACCAAACATTATGTATAACGTACCACATTACCATAAAAACCCCGTTTCCGACGAATAATGTGGGCAAGTAATATGCTACGGAAGCCATCACACGCACCACTTGACACACACGCTACTCACTTTCTTCCCTCAGGCTAAAGCCAATTATATGTGTCAGATAAGGATTTCAGCTTGGTCAGACAGGCCATCTCACCTGCAGTATAGCCGATACCCAGAGGAAGAACACCATGCTTGCGTCAAACTGGCACCAATGGTCCTTCAGGTACGGGTTGTCGCCCTGTGTGGCACATGATACAACTTGTAATTACACAGCTCCACCATCATTGGACAGGTAGAAAGAAGTCCACATCATATACAGGATAAACAGGCAGCAAACACAATGAAAGCGGCAGAACAAGATGTTTTGGACTGTTAAAGAATGTTCTATAAATATGGTACAAATTTCAGTAAGGTGCTCTGTCAGTTCACTTCTCACGCAAGTCAATGTGACACCGCAAACAGTTTCGTGACTCAGTGACTGCACAGAAATACTCACGCTGACCAGGCCACGGATGTGCATCTTGGCCACCATTTCGGCCGTGAACATGCACGTGACAAACACGTCCACGATGAAGGTAATGAGCTGCAGCGCTGGCCACTGCTCAAATGTCTTTGGAGTGTTGAGGCTGACCGAGACCAGGCTGAGCAGAGCACAGAGCCGCAGCAGGTGGCGTACCCATACCTGGACGGAAATAAGGTGACATGGCACTGTCAGTCACAGAGGACAGTACACAGTTGACAGAAGTCCTTGACAGCTAGAGGACCATGGCCAGCTAGGCCATCAGGAACATTGTTACATTGCAAAATGGAATATAACGATGTTAAAATAGCAATAAAATTAAAATTAACAAAGCAACAATTCACGTTAAACAGAAGACATTGATCACAATGCAACAAAACACCTGTTTGAAACATATACACCAAGAGTAAAAAAAGAATGACATACCTTGTTGACCCAATCAATATCTGCATTTTCATTGAGTGACTCATCAGGACCATAGTCTGAAAGAATTGGCTCACTTCTCAAGCTTGGCTTCCTGCCCAACATTTTCAATTTCATGTGCTTTCACATTGCACCAGCCATTCTGACTAATGCAGAGCCTGACATTTACTTCAGGTTCCAGATGGAGATGCTGATGGTCATGGCTGAAAAGGAATGCGTTAAGTCAATATGTAGTCCCCTGTGTAGCCAGACAGGAAAACATCCATACACTACGCCGGACGCCCGTGAGACCCGCTTACGCCGAAATTCGGCGCAAGCGATTTTGCGCAGAAATTTATGCGTGATTTGCGCCAAAAATTAGGTGCCTATTTGTGCGAAAATTAAGCCCTTTTCATATAAAGCACATGTGCAAATCTACTGATCAAGGCTATATCAACCAGACAGAGTGTTTCGGGACCTTGTACGCTCTCCCATGTTTGAGCGTCCGAATGAGTTTATTTCCACGTAAACCCAATACGGTAATACCTCGGCGGGAGCCAGCGAGGGCCGGGCGCTCAGCACGTGCTCCGGCACATCACCCTCTTCCCGGCTCACGGTGCAGAGCACCGCTGGGCACCGCTTGTCTGGGCACTGCTGGCACGTGGCGGAGTGGAGACAGCCGATTCGGTGCCGTACTGGAGCAAGCAGCACCAGTGGCCCGCCCTCATCTGGTGCACCGAAATGGCATACTCTCGGTCCTATCCGGGATAGGGAGCGGCGGCGTGTTCCCGCGGAGTAGCTTGAATAGTGACTTGAACCAGTTGTCGCGCCACTGATACGAGGCAGCACAATGAACCGCCCTGGTCAGCGATCGGGCGTTTGAGGGCAGGGTGGCCGCCTGTTTTGCCAGGTCGTCCGCGCTCTCATTCCCGATACTGCAGTGGGCAGGAACCCACTGCTATTGCTTAACGACGCTTGGCGACATTCAACAAGGTTTTCCATACCTATCTCTACGCCAAAGATTGAGGCCTCACCTGGACAGCCGTTCCTCCGCTGAGTAGACTCAGAGTGGCTCGCCAGTTTGAGCACACGACGACCGGGCGGGGACATATCATCCCGCAGCCTCTCCAGAGCCGCCCGCGGGGCGAATCTGCTGCTAGATTGACCAGCGTACTGCATAAATTCGGTGACTGTCTTTCGCCCCCCAAACAAATATGCGATCGCCCTGCGCCGAAAAATTTGTCTGCCGCTATGCGCTGAATTCGGCACATACGAAGTTACGCCAGACGTGCTCTGAAATTTTCGGCGCAATCCCGCCACTCCGCCGGAAATATTCGGCATAACGTGTATTTTTTCCAGTCTGGCTATGTAGTAAGGCCTAGTGGATAAGGTGTCCATCCCATAGCTTGGCAGTAAGAGCAGTGAGTTTGAGCCTCACTGGAGAGCTCCACATATTTTACCCTATGTTTTATTCAGCCAGATTGAGATGACATTTGGGGAGAGAAGGCCATGTTAGGACAATATCAATGTGACCATCTACTGCATGTGAAACTGTTACCACAACCCAAACCATGTATTACTTACATGGATTACTTACTTGGTAGTTTATCCAAGCTGTTAACATGCATGCAGTGAAAGGGTTTTGAGTTCCCAATATCAATATACCCACCCAATATATCACATAGGTACCGTGGAGTTCTGAGGATTTTTATTTTGCTTCAACTAATGTTTTTGATGCAACTTGCAAGGCTCACGATTTTCATAAAGGTTCTGTTCGATTTGACACTGCTGACATCTGTTAGTGCAATTGGTTCGCTGACGTCACGGGCAGCATTTATTTAAACACATGCAAAACGTACACTTTTCTGGCATTTCCTTCGTTGAATTGGAATACAAAATTGTAATTTCATGGATCATTTAATCAATTTTCAAATTTTATCTCTTTTGGTTGATGTATTGCCTCTTCCGAGAAAATATATCGCTCGCAGCTATTATCTCAGTGAACAGAGTTATAAAAATTATGCGTTAGAGAATGTCTTAGAAGCGCACTATTTGGAACAAGCATAAAAAACAACAACATGCGCAAAAAAAGGACTGCGGGACCGGGCTGCTAGTCCGAGGCCAGAGCTCCAATGGACAGTGGATAATAACTGACTGTCTGACCGACGACCGTCACATATATCGAGATGACAAATCAATACCGATCCCTGTGTGCTGTTCTAACTGAAAATTCGTGATAATGACCACTGTCTAGGACTAGGGAGATACGCTGATTTGAACAAAAACATTTTGTTGTGATTTTTTATGAATGCAATACCTACATTTGCTGCAATCTTGGCTGCAGGCTGCAATGCACGCAATGATGTAATGCCATGAATCGCCCTTTTTCAATCTAGCAGCTTTAAAAAAGTTTTATGCCTTGTGCCTTGTGTGTTGGTTGGCGGCTACCTCAGCCTTGTGGCTGAGGTAGCCGCCAACCAAGGCCGCCACCAGTTCGCCGTCCCTTACTTAGGCCGCAGGCCGCAGTGGGCCGCAGTCTAATATTGTCCGTGAGTGGCGCAGGCCAGCGCCGGCTAGGCACGGACACCTGAGTAACACGTGCTCGGCGGAGTGTCGGCGCCCTCCCTGCAGACGATCGGCAGCGGGCTGCGGGGCATGGCTTGCAGTTGCACTGCTGGTAGCACATGATGTCCCTGAAGAGGCCAGTCCTGCCGCTAGCGATGGGAGGCGCAGCGAGCGACGGCCCTCGTTTGTGTCTTTACATCTATTGCTGCTGTCCTGGGCCAGGCCAGATTTTTCTTTGGCTAGCTCGTCGGCCCTCTCATTTTCCTGCAGGTCGCCGTGCGCAGGGACCCTTTGAAGGCGAATGGTTGATCCTCGGCGAGAGAGAGCGAGGAGGTCCTCCCAGATGGAGATCCCATGGCGGGACGTCTGGGAGGAGAACCCGCCTTCCAGCACCCGCAAGGTGGCCTGGGAGTCGGTGCAGATAACTATTGAGCTGTCTGCAGTGTCGGCGTCGGCATGACCGATCACGGATGGTGTCCTGGGCCACCTCCTCGGCACACAGGAGCGTGCTGGAGCAGAGCTGGCCTGGCCCGTAGCGACTGGGAACTCCCGAGTTTCTCCCGACGGGAGGGTGATGGTGGCCCGCCCCCGCCCCGGGGGACGCCATCCGCCGCTGAGCAGTCCACCCAGATCCAGGCTGCGCGGGACGGCGGGAGTTCCTAAGTGGCTTCCACCCCCCCCCCCCTCCGTATATCCCCCTCCGCGGGAGCTGTTCTTTGGCCGCCGGGGCCGACGTCCAGGCAGAATGTGACCTGTTCATGCTGGCTCCACGGTGGGATGGTCTTGTCTTGGTTGGACGTCGGTCTCGCTTGCCCCGGCCAGGGCGCGGCGGCCGACATCTCGCCATCCGGTGGGAGTCCGGTGGTAGTATTTTGCACACCTAGGGTAATGTAAGCCTTTGTAAGCCCTCATGTAGTAAAGTACACCCACGAAGGCATGGCCATTGCCGCACAGGCACTCTCGGCGCCTCCCTGTATCAGTCATCAGGTGAAGGCAGGGATCCGACGGGCCTAGTTGACGTGCTGTCGCCGGTCGGTGCCCCTACACTACAGACAGGCTGCACGTGACCTGCAGCCTGTGACGCACCACCGTCACAGCGCGCGTGGCAAATGTCACACGCGGCCCTGTCGGCTCACCAAAGGTCGGCGCGGCGGTCAGAGCCGTCAGCGGCCGCTGGCTGACGGGATAATGACGGTCCGTGTCCGCCGATCGGCGCCGCGACTGCCGTCAGAGGGCCCCCGGCCACCGGTGCTACACCATGCCGCCGTCGCGCTGCCGGCCTCGCTCGGCCCTGTTGCTGCTGGTCACCTTTACGCTGACTGGTCCGATCTCGGCCGGAGCTCCGTACGACCCTTGTGCCTTGGCGCCGCGCGAGTTCTGCATCTCCAACAGGGGGTGTTGCCCGCCTACAGTCTGTGTACGAGTTCCCGCCTCAAGGTACGGCTATTGCTCTACTAATGAGACGCGCTGCGACCCGCCGTGCGGTCCCGGCCAGTGGTGTCCCCCCGGTCAGCCGGCGAAACCACCCAGCCGCACCGGGAAACTGCAGCTTCTGACACACGGCTCGGTCGACAACGGCTTCACCTGCAAGGACAAAAAACTGCCAATGGAGTGTTACGAAAACCTACACTGCCATCCGGGCTCCGTATGCAGGAAGACCTCACGAGGCAACTGCTGCTACCCGACCAAGTGTCCCATGAAGTGCCGGCGGGGCGAGCGCTGTCAAAAGATTCTGCGCCGGTGCGCCCGGCCGCCGGCCGACGCGTCGCCCTGCTACTGCCCGCCGCTGCTCAGGTGTGTGTCAGCTTGCAATCCACCTTGTCGCAAAGGACAGCGCTGCGAGCTGCTCCCCTCGACATCTATACTTACTAGCAAAAAGAAATACATGTGCGTGACAGACAAGTGCCAAAAGAACTCGGACTGTAAAGCTGGATCAATCTGCAGGAAACACAGGCGAGGTAACTGCTGCACGCCAAATACCTGTGCTCCGAGATGTGGTCCTGGTCAGAGGTGTGAGGCTGTTTTGTCTTCGTGCCCCCATATGGTCAATTGGGAGCCGCCACCATGTTACTGCCCGATGGGGTTCAGGTGTGTCAACAAAGTGCTGAAATGTGACCCGCCCTGCGGCCAGGGTCTGCGCTGCGGGCTGAGCTCGGGCGCCCCCGAGCCGAACGGCAGCAGAAAGCACGTGTGTGTGCGTGACAAGTGCTCCCGTACGCGCCGATGCCCGCCCGGGTTCCGGTGTCAGACGGACGCTCGCGGTAACTGCTGCCGCCAGTACACCTGCTCCCGCAAGTGCGCCGACAACGAGGTGTGTCGTCAGGTGCCGCCGACAGCGGGGCAGTGCGCCAGACCGGTACTCTACTCTCCGCCCTGCTTCTGCCAGTGGCGCTACGCCTGCCAGTCGCGCTGTCAGCCGCCCTGCGGACCAAACGAGCGCTGCGCGCCGGCCGGCGGGCTCGAGGGACGAGACCGGTACACCTGTCAGAAGAAGCCCGTTGACGAGTGCCGCACGGACAGAGACTGCGCGGCCGGCTCGTCCTGCCGCCGGGACAGCCGCGGCAACTGCTGCTACCCCACCGGCTGCCCCAACAAGTGCCCGGTCGGGGAGCGCTGTCAGGTGCGGTTTCCGCCGTGCCCGCGGCCGCCAGAGCCGGCGCCGCCGTGCTACTGCAAGCCGTTCTACAGCTGCACATCCTGTACGGGCCCCAGGTGTCCCATCGGCTAACCGGGACGGGGTCTGCGCGCCTCTGCGACTGCGCAGTGGATTTTGAGTTATGAGTTTAGTGCACATTGCACATTGTTTTGCTTTTGTTTCAGCCGGGACTTTCCACATTGAACCCTCACCTTGTTTTTTTTTCTAGCCATATGACTAAAACGAGCTATCTTAGCATAGGCCTATTATTAAAGAATCCAATAAAAAGATTCGAAAATAGTTTCCCTTGTTTCCTTTGAACACACGGCTGATGTGACAATGTGTATGCATTTTATCACAGACAATGAATATTTTATCACAGACAGAATAAGGACGCAAAAATATTTCTGAGCTGGAGCGGCGATCCACAGGTCGGATCACAGCTGTCGTGTAGCGTGTAAGCAGTAACGCAAACGTTAAAAGGGTCTCACTGACGTTCTAGGCCGCAAAAGAGAGGATTTAACACACTGTGAGGTAGCATATCCTCGATTTTTTTTTGCAATCAAAGGTACTCGACATTTGACCCCACTCTGCACCACATCTGGCGAAGCCAGTGATTATTGGCGGTCGCGCGGCACCGGCAGTAGTTAGAGTTGAGGCGACGGTCTGATAGTTCACTTCAGTGTCCGCACAGCTTTCACCGGGGAACTCACCTAATGCCAGACTGAGGCCAGTCTGGTCTCTTCCTACCAGTATAATCTGGATCACCAAAGTTTCTGAGATCGTCAGGGACCGCTGCGATGGCGACCGTGGTGTGGCGAATGTCGTATGAGTGACTCGCCCTGTAGCACTGGGTGCGGCTCTGCCGCTGACCACTAGTGGACGCCCTGCACCGGCTGGTAGGGGTTGTTGTTGAGCAGCCACTCGGCCAGCCAGCTGACCGGGTCGGCCGGCTTGGTCTTGCACAGCTCGGTCAGGCCGCGCACCAGCGTCTCGCTGACGTAGTCGTCCACAAAGTCCCTGGCCTCCATGCCGCTCAGTATCGGGTACAGGGTCACTGCGGGAACAGGGGCATCGGGAGGGTTACATCGCGCCGCTCCGGAAAACTGGTCTACCAAATCTCCCATCAGCAATCCAAATTTATGAAATACGTGTTGAATAACATTTTGTATTGCCTATCTCACTCGTGTGAGTCCTTTTGAATTGATAACACACTTACATGGTACATACTAAATACAACGTTTGCGATAAATATTATTTTTCCCCATAAAATGTAAAACGTCTTGGTTCGTGGTCATCTCAAGCCGATGAAATGTTAGTTGATGTTCGTTCGCTGCTGAACCGTGAGCCAGCCCTCAATAGCCCCGTTTACATAGGGCTCGTTGCCAGATAGTGGAATTCCGATACCGAGACATTTATTCTACTAACGAGACATTTCAGACACATTTCGTTAGTTCTGACGACCTATCCGGCCGAAAGCCCTATGTAAACGGGGCTCGTGTCTCACCGTCGGGAAAGAAGAAGCGGATCTCGCGCTCGGCGCTCTCGGCCGAGTCGCTGCCGTGGGCGGCGTTCTCCGTATCGCTCGAGCCGAACCTGGCCCTGCACCGACAGCCGGCGTCAGACGGAACGAGGAGCAGCACAGACAGACGGCACGGTCAGACTGAGAGGATCAGCAGAGCGGGATACTGGCGACCGAGACCCCGCAGCACCGTCTATTGGGAAACAGCCCACAGAGCGAAACAACGTGCCGAGCGAAAACAAATAGAAAGTGATCGGACACGCATGATACTATACTTCCCAGTCCGATTAACTACACTTTTGCTATTGCGTTAGGCGGCACGGGCGGACATCGATAGCAGCGCCTCTATCGGTCAATAGGGAAAGCTGGGCTGTAGGCGACGAAATACCGGCTAAGTTGTCATACGTTGAATAGGTTTATAGACATCCGTCTTGTGAAAAAGTTGAACTTTTGCCTTCAATATTTCTACAGGCAATTTTAGAAGTGTCTTCACATAGATTACAACACCGTTTAGATTATTGTATTCACTTCAAGCCTTCCCTTTTGTTCTTGATGATGCGGGAACTATTTCTAATTAGTATTTCTAGCTTAATAAAAGAACATATTGTGCAAACAATGAAAAAAGCATAGATAGAATATTTTAAATGCAATTTTCTCTAGCAATCAATGGTAAATTTTCTACAGATCAAGGAAAAGATGCATGCTAACTGATAATTTAAAGTTCTTGGAGCCAGTTGTTTTCTTCTTTTCTTACGTCGCCCCAATGGCCGCGAATACACTTGTGATAACACCTATCGGATCCGGACACAGTATCTAGTGGTCATTTCAGCCATGCTAGCTGCGAGTATGCACGCGTGCGCGGTAGCACTATAAATGTAAATAAACAAATATCTTTATTACGTGAGCATTACGTGACTAATCGGCATTAGTGGTAGATGAGGAGCGCAACCTTAAAGTGGGTGAGTACGGCCAATAACTGCCAAGTGGGAATGGGAGCACGGGACAATAGCGATAGAGGAAGAAACACTAACCGGATAGAGTCTGGATGTTTCTTGATGGCGGCGGCGACGCTGGTCGGGCCCAGCAGACGACGCCAGGCCCGGACGGCGCGGTCCTTACTGAGCACCATGGCTAGTACTGGGCCTGCAGAACAAACACATGATCGGAACAATACCAAACAGTGACGAGTACCGGCACTGCGGCATAGAACCAGTCACTGGCTATCCCGGCCCTGCGGCACAGTATCAAACACGATCTCCGGCCATGTATCACGGTATCAAATACCTACCGACTATCCCCGGTCCAGCGGCACAGTACAAATACTGACTATCCCCGCCCTGTATCAGAGTATCAAATAATGACCACCCCTTCCTACTATCACCGTATCAAATACGAACCACCGCTAAATATATCCTGTATCATGGTATCGAGTACCGACCACCCCGGTCCTGCAGCTCATTGTCAGAAAACAACAATGAACAGACCACTGATCTACTGACTGGCCGCAGCTGGCCCGGCCCTGCGGCACAGCGGCTATCTAACGCTGACAGGCACAAACCCCGCGGCACAGTATCAAATACGGCTCATCCCCGGCATCGCGGCACATTATCTAACGCTGACAAGCACAAGCCCTGCCGTTCAGTTAAACAGTGACAATCACCGGTCCCGGCAGCTCAGTATCAAATTCAAGACTGCATTACACAGACACTTTTGAGACGACATCCATCACACTGTCTTCAATAATGAATGTCATACATTCGTCAATCGCCATGCCTTCGGTCGCTGGTTCACGCCCTCGGGCCTTATACCGACGACGCGTGGCGGCAGCCGAAATGGACACCGACGATAGTTCACAGATCAAGTGACAAACTCAGAGTCATGGGGCGGCTGAAGACTCGGTCACTATCCCAGCAGTGTCTGAATATTGAGTTCGGATCATGACCGGTGACCGCCATCAGTGATCGAGGATACTTGAGCACTAAGCAGAGTAAATACGCACTACAAACAGATTTCAATGCTAAGCGAATGGGAGGTATGAATGCGTATTTATTCATACACGGGTACACGGTAAATAACGCACAACCGTCTTTGTTTTGCGAATCCACTGATCGCTGCGACACGTTCAGGTAATGACATGCCCTTAAAACTGCCAGTAGGCAAAAAAAGGCATGCACTCGGTAATAAACACAGATTGAAGTCAATGGATAAAAGCAGCTGCTAGTTGGGCAGCTCAAACACAATACACGGGATCCAAGCGCCAAAGGGCGGGGGGGGGGGCTAAAAGAAGCGTCAAATATGTAGACGACAAACTTCGCATCCCAAGTCCCAGTAAATAGGCAAAGATTTACCTGAAGTCATGAAATTGATGAGATCACTGAAGAACGGCTTGTCACGGTGTTCGGCGTAAAACTCCATGGTTTGTTCCTTGGACAGCAGCACTCGGCGTCGCTGAAACAGAGTCCAAACACCAGCCGTCTATAAATGAGGTCGGGAAATGTAGAGATAGTGAATGAAGTTCTCCCTGGTTTCTCACCGATATAACCGTTTTGAAAACAGACTGCATCAGAGAGATAGATTAGTGTCATTTATCGTATACGTAGTGGCTCGCCACGTGCTCGCAATGTGCCACGCCCAGCGTCACAGCAAGCAGACATGAACAAAACTGTTGTTGTCCCAATACTAAAACAAAATTACCTGAACAATAGTGAAGCCATCTTTGATGATCATTTTCTCGATTTCTTCGGCGTTTGCAATTGCGTTCGGCTTGATAATGGCCAGCGTTTTCTCCATTGTGAATCACAGAAATCTAGGGCGTTTCGTTACGACTTCGGGATAGAAGAGTCTATCAGCACCCCACAGCACCGCATCGATGCTTGAAAGAGGCATGGACAGTGGACTCGTTAGACAAGCAGGAAAACAAGCTTTGTGTTACACCCAACTTTGGTGCGGGAACGGGCGGAACCACACTCCGAATTTCTCTATACGGCTATCGGCGAATAATCGTATTGAATCCTATCGAGCGACCAGCCCACCTTCGTCTTTGATCACACTTCCCATTTTCAAGGGCTAACGGCTGCCCCATTGCTAGACATGTAATCGTGACGCATCCAGGCAACCAAGTGTTACACTACCTTACCGGGAGCGGGGAGCCCACTCTGAGGTCACCGAGCGACCGTTCGCCCAGCTCCGGGTCGTGCGGTCCCGGGGTCGTGGGGTCGTGGCCTCCGGGTGGCGGGTCGTGGCCTGTCTCGCCCGGAGCGCGGCTCAAACACGCGTCAAATACACATCTGATGCGTTAGTTTCTAATTCTTTTACATGTTCTGCATCTTATAACAAATAAATAAAATAATGTCTAGCTGGCGGTCCGTCCTCGATGCAAAAAGTCCACGCTCGGGGTCAATATCAATCAACCTTGGTAATATCCATTGTACTCGCTAATATCGACCTTTTCACAACGTCCATCTCTCTTTCACCAGCTTCATTTGAATTTTGAACCCACCCTCCCTCGTCAGGGATGGTTGGTTCGGATTACGGTTGGCTGTAACCCTCCACCCCCACCCCACCCCCTTCGAATCCCGATGTTTTTTTCGAGATTTTCGGAACCTATTAGTCGGATATGGTAACAACAATCGCCTATTCAGGTCAGGTCACTGACCTATGAAGTCATAAGTAAAACTCTTAACGATTCGTAAATGTTGAAAATTCGCAACCCTTCAATGACTGGGAATTCTTCGCAGGGAAATGAAACTTTCAGCAGAAGCAGTAAGTTCCCGAGTCCATGACAAAACTTCAGTAGGTGTATCTCGGATTCTACGTACCTAAGGGTCACTCTAAGTCTGGTCGGTCTTACGACCACAGCATTGTAAGTCAATGGGGGCTTATTGTAAATGTTAGGCTTTTTTTGACGCCGGAAATCTTCTGAGACAGGGACTATCTAATGCATGCTTGAGTGGTGTGCAAGAGATTGTGATTTCACACATTATTTTCTTGTAAGGCGCCCGACGCTCGATGCTAGGCTTTGCGTTGTGAACTTGGGTTGCGTCATATACAGCGTCACTAAGGTAGCTTGCGGCTTGAGGTCTTCCAGGTTTTCGTGAATAAATCCCGGGCTGCAAATGAGCTATAGCAGGTCGGAAAAGCCACGATGGATTTAAAACGAAGGCCATTTAGATTTAAAACGACCTATCAAATATAATAAAAAGCAAGCAATAGGACATCCTTCGACCAGCTTTCAGCCCTAGGAGGCTAGGAGTGACTGAACTAAGGTCAATATTGAATAAGTTACTTGTTAGCTTTCTCAAAAACGATGTATAGGTACGAGAAGTTTAAAAGTGAAAGCACCTATATAATAAAAGTAGTTATGTACTTACTCATAGCATTCGGACACGCGGGCTTACCAATTACCATGATTATCACGTTTCAAACACGACGTCAAAAGTATCTCGGCTCAGCGACCTTTTCTAGCGAAGTCGTTTCCCTTCCCGCGCCCCGCTTGGGGGAAGGGGGTTGAACACCCCCGCCCCCCCAGTTTTTCGCGAATATCTATAAAAAACGGCGGCGTTCTGGCACACTTTATTAAAAAAATCTGCACAATCTATGAAAATTTATAAACAAGGTCACACAAGGTCAGGCCACCAGTTCACGTCAAGTGACCTCACCTCATAAAAGTTTCAATGCCTGCCGTAGCTACACCGAGTTACCGACCAATTTGTAACTTTTAGCAATTAATAAGGGCAACAGTATGTAAATACACAAAATATATCTCGGAAATTGGATATCGGTGACCTAGGGTCAGGTCAACTTTGCGACCTCTCCAGTCTCCACCCCAGTAGGTACATACTTACCCAAGTCAAAGGGAGAAAAATAAAAGGCGCCTCTTTTGGACAAACGTCAGACTTTCGAGCATCGAATTACAAGTAAAAAGGACACAATGAACCGGAAAATGGCACCCGTGATCCATCGTTAAGTCCCTGAGGTCATCCCAGGTCACGAATGGTATCTAACAGTTGTTCGCTAATACCTTTTGATAGAGGCACGCTAGAGCCATGAAAACGCCTTTGACGTGTTCAACTCGACGATACGGAGCGACAAATTTGCAGCATGAGTAGGATGACCTTTTTTGGTCAGGTCATGACCCTCACCTGAGGTCAAATTTTTAAGTTGACCTTTCGAGGTCAACTCATAGTTCATTCAATGCGTGTTGACAAGAGGAACCCGATGCTGCTATTAGTAAGATCGTGTAAGTTTTGTGTCAAGTCATTTTCCGGAAAAAAAAACTCCGCAAAAATGCCTATTGCCTATTTTGGCATTTTTTGCCCCCTGCGGACTAAACCCTTGACCTTAGGTCGAATCTGAGAGCATCGATCAGAAATACCGTTAAAATAGCTATCGAATGCGCTCTTCCGTGGCGCTGTAGCTCTATTTATCTGTTCCTGAGCTATGCGTTCGTTTGTCGAAAATTATCGAGGTTCGACCTGGAAAGTGGCGAAATTTCACCTTCGGTGACCTCCGGTGACCAGACCTGAGTTGACGTTATTTTTCATTATTGACGTTCTTTCTTTGGCTCTTTCGAACGCCGCCTAGGCTACTGCCAAGTGCCACGGCGTGTCGCTACGTGACCCAGGTGCCGTGTTAGAAGGGGCGATCGACTTATATAGCCTTGCACCTCCCAGCAGAGCGTTGAAATCCAGGACCCCCAGCGGAGACTGGGGCGCGGGTGGTCTTTGACTTGACCTCAAAGTCAAATGGTGGTGCAAAAAGAGGAAATGACCGCGCCTCGCCTCACGGCTCACAAAACACAAGCTCGTTTTATCTGAAACTCTTGCTCAAGATGACGAGTTTTGGCCACAGGCCAATGCAGGCCAAGGTTTTGGCCACAGTATTTTGACCTCACCTGTGAATCGCTGCCGGGGATTAGCGCCCAGGGTAAACTACAGCAGTAACTAGTAAACTATTGCAAAGAGCTAATCTTGTTTGCACCTACAGTGCCTAAGGGTGCCTAAGGACGCCCTTGTATTTAGCAAGATTCCTATGTATTTAGAGCCTTGATCACGCCTATCTGTCTCAATTTGGTATAAATCTTGAGCACGCCCCTATCCCCACACTTCCCCACATATAAAATACCTATATACGGCCTTGAAAATACCTATCCCCTACTCTTGCCCCTACTCCTCTACCCCCCCCCCCCCCCTACCCACTTTGTTTTCAGCGATTTACACTTTATCAGCGTTGCCATGGGAACGAAGAGTAAGCAAAAAATGGCAGCCTAAATACTTCAACGGAAGGAAAAAATATCTTCCATTGTGCTACAGAAGGATGAAAAACTTTGGTAAAACTTATGACAAAAGTAAACAAAAACAAAGATAATACACTAAACGAAATTTTTTTAATTTAAAGGGACCATCCCACCTTAACATTAGTTTTGAGTTGAGATAGCCAAGTTTGCGGCCAGGCTCAGAAACCACCATTTATCCTGGTCGCAACCCCCGCAGCTTTATGGTGTTCAAGAAATTTCTTCCCTTTACTTGCAGGGTGGGACCAGCTTAGTCCCTATCTCTTAACCATTACGGGAGTCTGATGACGTCATCAGGCTTTCGAACGTCCGTTAAATGTTTGACTAAAACGTTTTGTAGCACGCGGTGGTATATGCTGCTTTGCGCGCAACAAATGCCGCACTTTCAAATAAAGTCGCTAGGAACAGCGGAGATCCCAAATAGTAAACAAAAGTAAAAGTCTAATATCTTGAAAACCGGTGAATATTTTTCGATGAAATTTGGTAGATATTCGTTTTTGCTCTTTCTGAACCGAGCGACATCACTTTCATGCCAATTCATTGACTTTTTTGAAGGTGGGAGGGTCCCTTTAATAAGTCATCACCTCATTATTTTACCTCCGTCCTATAAACTTCGCGGGTACAGCATGAGTAAATTTGGTAGCTATTTCCCTCTTATTGAATTATGTCGGCATATACTGCGCAGCAATTTCGAAAGTGGGGCGTCGCCTTGCCCCGCGTTCGATGTCTCCCGGGCCCAGTTTCACCAAGTGGGGTAATTTCGGCATGGGGTAGATTTCCATTCTGCCCCATGGGGTAAAATCCAGTTTCACCAGCTCAAACTACCCCCATGGGGTAGTTTCGGCGTCTCTTGTGAATGTTTGCTAAGCAAGCAGCATCAGCAAAACAACGGAACGTTTTGATTGGTCGAGAATTTCATTTCACGACGGCGTGAAATGAAGAACACATTTGATTTGGCTTCTTGTATTTGTCTACCAATCACCTTGGTAACGATGGCACAATGGCACCTCAGTTTCCAAGATTCACAACTTTATTGAGAAAGGAATGGCAATGCACAACCGCGAATCTTGATGGATAGGTTACAGAACAATGGCATGTTTTATTATCGAATAGTATCGAATGTTTTAAAATTAATTAGTGTTTTAGTAAATTTGATGTTTATATTAGATGTTTAAATTATTTATAGTCACCGTGGTTTAAATTAGATGATTTAGATTAGATTAGATGTTTACCTAGTGTTTTATAATTAGAATGTTTCAGTAAATTAGTGCATGTTTTACTAGTATCGAATACACCTTGCTTGGTATTTTTGGCGACTTTTAACTACGAATCTTTTGCACCAGATGCTTTTATTTCTAATGTGCATTACAAAATACATACAGTACCTACAGATGCACGGCCCATTTAACGCAACTTTATTGAGATATGCACAACAGCGACAAAAATAAAAAAATAGATATGGAAAGTATCGAATCCACTTGGCCTGGTATTTTTAACAACTGCTTATTACGCATTACTTGCACCATTTGCTTTTTATTTCTAATGAGAATTACCTAGGTATGCACGACATTCTCTTGCTGATTTAGGTACGGCATTTTTATTTTTATTTCAGTTGTTAGCGTCTTGACATTTGCTGGATATTTGCACATTGACCGTAAGGCATATAGATACCTCGAATGATAATTTGAATAGATCACACAAGTTGAAGTACTATGATCATTTCAACAAGACACATCGTCAGCATGTAGATAACCACCGTGAAGAATGTGCATTTTTATTGTTTATATTTCAAGGCTTCCTCATCCGGTATTCAAGGTCACTGTTGAAGGAAAACCTTTAATAGTTAAAAAAGTAAAAATCCTGGCATTCAGCTATCGGCGACATCTATAATGCTTCTTTTGGGTGTTGCAATGCAGATCACAAGCATAGGTGGTGCAGGCTACATGCAGTAAAATATTTGGATGAAACTTGAAGTATCTATGCTATGAATAATGCATACTCAAACATGACAGGTGATTGGACTTCAATAAAATATGTTCTTATTACTATTTTACTGTCAATTGTTGCTCACAATTCGTATCATATTCACAGATTACCCCACGAATGTCAGCCGTAATTTTGGTCGGATATTTGGGGTAGAATTGCCGGCAAACAGCTGATTGATTGGCTTGTTCAGATGCTCACGGACCGTGAGCATCTGTTTGCATGGCAAATTTGGGGTAAAATAAAAACTACCCCATGGGGTAGTTTGGAAGTGGCCAATCAGAACCTACCCCATTTGGTGAAACTGGTTTGGGGTAGTTTCGCCGAAACTACCCCAAACAGAGCTTGGTGAAACTGGGCCCTGGACGGCAAAGATTCTACGCTGTCCGGCCAATCACGTTCCATAACCGCAGCCGAGCCCCCGCTGACCTTGGACGGGATTGGCCGGACGACGTAGAATCTTCGTCGTCCGAGAGACATCGAACGCGGGGTTGGTTCATTGCACTGAACTCTATAATGGTTCATTGCCATTGCACATTGTGCATTATGAGTTCTCTATATACCGTGATTGTGAGTTGCATTATAGAGTTCAGTGGGGCCTTGGTTCAGTGATCATTGCCAAGTTACTGCTGAATGCTGTGTGACTGCTTTGAATAGATAATAATAAAGAATTATTTAATTTATTTATTATTGGTACAGTGAGTCTAGGGCCTTCTTATCGTATATCAATATTATAAGAGTAGCCGAGTTTGATTTTTCTGGTGAGTATGAAAGGCACGATATGGATATCTCCAAAAACACACAGATTGAGATGGTTATTATTGTTATTAGGTGGTCATTACTCATAACATGAATAACTGGAACATGTTGTCTATGTATTATGTCATGATTTCCTTCCACTTACATTGGTTTTAAGTGATAACAGAACATGATTCTCACATTTATCATTCTGGAATGACTGAAGCAGAGGTTCAAATGTTTTTATTGATACATAATTTGTTCCTTTCCATGTCAGTTGGCAGAACTATGGTCAAGCGTGCTTATTTATGAGAACACATTTTCGTTCCCATGTTTGAGAACAATAGACCCAAATATGGGAATGCCATGTAGTAGGCAGATTTAGGTATTATAATTTGCTCCTTTCCATGTTGGCTGTGTTCTGCTTCTGAACCCAACAAGATCATTCTTAAAAATGCCACAAATAAAGCATATTTTGAGGTGAGGTCACCATAATTCGCCCAAATTCTGGAACACTAATTGGATTTAATGGCTATGAATTTAATGCCTGTGTGTGGCTAGTACTCTAGTACTGTGGTTGGCAACTTCCTACCTACAAGATTAGCAGAATTGGATTTGCTTGAAGGAAGATAGCAAATTAATCATGCTGATGTGACTGAAACTGGAGTCTGTTGTTTCCACTCATTGACTTTAAGTTTCAAGTTGTGGCTGTTTCAATCTATCACAGCTCATTCCTGCCAGGAGTTGTACATAAAGGGTCATAGAGACTTAAACCCAGCCTGGATTCTCATCACCATCTGAGGCTATTGATGTAAACATCACCATCCATCCTCAAGGAGTCCTCCACCCAACCAACTGAGCTTTAGGGCAGACTAGTCAGTTGTTTCAATGTTTTACTTCACAGGTTTCTGAGCTGCTTAATAGGTATCCAACATGCTTAGCTGTCCAGGACTATCATAATCAAAAATTGTTCATATCTGTATTTTGTTCAAAGTGAGAGTAGATAACATGAGTCCACGGCCCTGCTCTCCATACTCCAGACTCCTGAGTCCTGACATCCACAGTTTAGATGGCCTGAAGCGTGAAGAAGACCTCAGCAAATAATGGCTGACTCCTCAGTCCTACTTTTGACCACATTCAGCAGGTGACCTGGTCTCAGGTCTGAGGTCCTTGTTGGATATTTGACCTGTCCTGACTTTTTTGTCTGGCATGATCTTCAGAGGTGGCTGCATTGACATTCATACTCCATAGGCACTGTCATTGGTTAGGTATTTATCTGAGCCCCACAGACAACAGTTGACCAAACCGAAGTCCAAACTCAACCACAGGTGACTGACCTGTCCCTTTCTGTCCTCTGCAGGTCACTGTGCCAGCCTGTGCATCACTAGTGCGATATGACACGAGCGTCGGCGCCGCCGCGGCTCGTCTACCGCTGGTCAGTGACCGATGTTCAGAAGTGGCTGAGGCGCCACCTCAGCGACTATCACAGCCTCTACTCAGAGCGCTTTCTGCAGGTGAGGCGAGGCACGGCAAGGGCTGCTGGGATGATCGCTGTCCACTGAGAGTACTGGTTGTGATGAATTAGCACTATTTGTTGTGCTTTTGACATCGAGGAAATGCTTTATAAAGTATGGATTCATGAGTATCACTACTCGTTAGGCAGTAGGTACAGTTGTTATTCAACATTGTATTTGAGTTTCAATATACGCCACTCGTCTCCTGACCTACTTCCTAGACCGTCTTTTGAATTGATTTTACTCGAGATTTTTTAAATCAAGCCGTTTCTTATTTGAAGCAGGTTGAATTTTACGAATGACCTGTGTGTTTATGGGCACTCGACAGCATGATATCGCGGGTGCTGCCCTGGTCCGCCTGAGCCGACCTCAGCTGCAGAACATGGGCATCGCCGACCCAAAGCACCGCGAGGACATCTACCGGGAGATCGCCAAACTACGCCTCAAGTCGGACCTGCTCGAGATCCGCAATGTGTACACGAACGTCAAGGGTGACGCGGTGCTAGTGTGACTGTCTCCTCACCGGTGAGGTACCGCGGTCAGTGATCTGTACGGGAACACGGCGCTCTTGGTGTGATCCCAAAGATAGCATCACCACTGCGGGACGCTGCGGACGGATTTTCCGACACTAAAAGAGCGTCAGCTGTCTCCAGACTCGATAATGTCGGACGGTGATCATTTCCGACGCTCAGAGTTCCACCGCAGAAGAGTGTCGAGGCGACCGTCGCCGGCTACTGCTGGTGGTCCGTTCAGTGTGGAGGTCACACCCAGATCTACTACACTCTGTGTGAAAAGTCGAGGGTGATTTGACAGAAGCCCGATCGGGTGGGATGAGCGACGGGCCGCCAGGCCACTATATCATAGTCGCGTAGTCTTCTCTGATGCTTGGAGCACTTAGGTACTCGTGTCGTCACGGGAGTGAAAAGTACGAAGCGCAAACCGTCTAAACCGAATCAAATATCAGCAGGATGATGCCTTCCGTTGTGCGTTGTGACAATTTATCTTTTTGAATTGAATGAGGTAAACAATTGCGATATCTATCTTGCGATTTTTGGCGAAGAGAGATTCCCATGGGACCTGCCACGGTCTCAGGATAAGGGTAAAGAACAACGCAGCCCTTATACATTAGGCTGCACTGCGGTAGTCAAATAATTGTGACTCCCCCCCCCCCCCCCCCCCCCGGTGACGCAGCCCCGGTACATACATTCGTTCCAATTTATTGCTGTCTTGTGCCGTTAGTGGCGAAGTCGTGGTTGCATCTTCTAAGAGGATGTTGACGTGTCTTCTCACTACGTGTATGTGTGGGGTCTCCCCTTTCTAGCATTTCAAGCATTCATGGTAGCTGTAGATGATTTTCTCGAGGGTGCTCCTCGCACGGGGCTGGCCGGTGTCTGGTCGTGCACAATGGCGCCCCGTGAAGTCACCCTTCACGGCCTTAGTCTGTATTTACTAAAGGGTGGTTTACCAGCAACGGGGTGGCCACTCTGTGATGGACATTCAGACGGCATCATTAATGTGTGACTATTTTCTTATACTTGTATTCCTTACATGTGAGGCGTCAATGTTTACTTCGAGAAAATCAAGTGATCCGTCGTAAGTCTCAACGTACCGTTCATTTGATGTAATGTGTCGTGAATTGTGATCGTAAGGAATCGTGATGTGGGCATGAATGTGTTTTATCGGTGGTCTTGCCCTTAATCAAGTGATTGTCATTTTAGTTCATTTTACGTGACCTGCATCGACTGGAGAGCAGTCAGCGAACTAAGAGCATCAGTATTGCGCACTTGTTATTAGATGTACATTCAGTAATAAAATGTGAACATAACTACCAATGCGACGATAACTATTGAAAGCGAGCTCATTATGTAATATGTATCCAACGACATAGTCTGAATATTGTTATTCTGAGGAAAGAATGCGCAACGCGTTTCATGTCGCAGATACGAATTTTCTCCTTTGATGTTGCATATATTATTAGGCCTTGTGGTCGGTCCTACTTTTGGTAAGGTTTCAGTTTCACTTGGAGTTCAGATGGTCTGGTAAACCCGCCTTACCATACCCTGTTGGAGTTTGATTTAGTTATTTCACCAATTTGATTAGTTCCACATGTGTCGTAAAATACGGCAATTCATTGTGCATTACGATGTATTTAGAGAAACTCTGTTGGAGATTGATGGATGCTACGTTTTACGGTGACTGGTGACAGCTGCTCTGCCGGCTGGCCAGCTGAGCTGCGGCCCGGCCCCAGCAGCTGCTGCAGCTCCCGGCGGGCCGTGGCGCCGGCGGCGGGGCAGAGCGCGGCGCCGGCAGAGCGGGGCGCCGCCGGCGGCGGTGGCGGCGGCGCCGGCAGCAGCGGCGGCGGGCGCGGCGCCCAGTCGCGGTGCGTCCGCCACCGGCTGCCGCTGTCCGAGTGAGCTGGTGCGCCCCGTGCTCCATGTGCCATACGGTCTGACGGCTGTCAGCGCCACTTTCCAGGTCAGTGTAACCTCCCTTCCCCCACACCCTTCTGTCTTGTGCCCCGTATGGCTTGTCAGTCATTGCACATTAGCGACTTTACGGGCTAGTGAGACATGCACCCCTTTGCGCCCCGACTGTGTCGTACGGCCCCAACGGCTGACCTTCGACTCATCAGTTGTCAGTGAATCCCCTGCTGCCGTCTCGATTTCGAACTGTAGATTGGTGCATCCATGTTTACGTAAACGTTTATTTTGTAACTGAAACAATACGGTTGCACGAACTACGTAACGAATACGACAAATTTAGTACTTATAATTCCAGTTGACCTAATGCGTGGGGTCCGCCTAATGCGGGTCCTGAAGATTGACAAAGTGAGTTACATATCTGCCTAGTATGTAATTCCCTTTGGACGCTATCGTTGTGACGGTCCGTGTCGTCTTTGGTGCCGTTTTCGTATGCATATCTTCGCGTATATTGTTCCTTGCCCTCCAGGCCGGAGGGAACATGGGTCACTGGGGCAAAAGGAACTCGAGTTGGAAGGAGGGGCATACACTTCTCCGTCGATGGGGATGGATGGGGTGGAGCGGGTGCGGGATGGGGTCCTCAAACGGGACAGCAGGTCCCTCAGGTGGACAGAAACAGGTCTGGTCGGGTGGAAACGAGTTTCTGCAGCAGGATTGAGCATGCTTCCAGGTGAATTCTGGCTCGGAAGACGATGAACCAGGCAACGGGGTCAAAGGCTCGTAACCTGTAACTCCTATTGAAGTGAGCTGTTACCGATGTGTTCCTCCGTGTTCTATAATTAGTCAACAACTCGACAATCAATTAGGAGATAGGGTAGACTGCCGGTCCAAACTATGTCCATCATAGTAGACATGTGACGTGTGGAAATGCATATACCTGTGCCTATGCTTTTGGAGTGTACTGACGTTTTATTTCTGTTTTTCAGAATGCAAGTGGAAAGGATGATAACAAAGGCGAATACAAGGTCAGTGTCAACGCATTGCCATGCGTGATTGAACAGTCGTCCCATTAATTGAGTGATGGTGGATCCCCACGGCCGACATACCATCGCCGTCCTCACACGGCCGGTGGGCGGGCCGCCCTCCATTTACTGTCATCGCCTGCCGCCCCCCGGACCGGCCGACCGCATGCACAGTCCGTCTCCTTAGCAGGATCTCGGTCGGAAAGCCCCATTTGCGCTCGTTCGTGATATCTGCGCTCGGTCGCGGTAAACACGCGGCGCTCATTTATATAACTTCCCCACAATGAAATGGACACGTATAGATTAAATTTGGGCCCTGGAAAGGGGTAAGTACCTTGAATCAACAAGGTACTATTAAGTCAAATCAAATGACACCGTGAATATAAAAGACACTCAACAGACTGTTGGGTACATTGGGCTGACAGCCGTGTGCAGGCTGATGATCGGTGATAGCGTGTCCAGCTGCTGGATTCCCAGCCGTGTCTCGTCTCGGCGTCAGTCGGCGGACGGGCACCCGGGCCCGTACCGGCCCGGCCCGGCCCGCGCGCGGCACCCACTCGCCGACTGAGCCCCTCCCGTCAGCCGTTGTGAAATCACGCCAACCTCCGCGCCTTTGTCCGTCTCTGTGGCCTGAAAATCCAATCTCACAGCTATCGTACGAAAACCGGTTTTAAGAGCATTTTTCGAGCCATGCAGGTTCCAGATGTGTTGCCGTGTTTGTGCAGGTTGAAGCGCAGAAGTGAGGGATACCTTCTTCTTGTAAAGTTTAAAATTAAATATGAGCGTCAGGCATCGATTATAGTACATGTGTTTGTCGTTTTCGCTTATCCGCGCGGTTCTCTCGCGATCAGTTCACCTCGGTAAATATCCGTCCACCTCCGCGTGCTCACTGCTGACCAATGTGAGGTCAGTCATCACAATTCTTACTGTCAGCTCACCACGAATATTCACCGAGAGCTGTCCGTGCTTGCCACATAGGGTAGACCGGGGCAAGTCGCCCCGCCGAGGTAAAACGCCTCACCGATGTTTCTCGGAACTGGCAGGGTTCTGGGGAAACATCATCTCTTCTATAAAACGTGCACTATATGATCATTATATGAGCAGACTGGAAAGAAATTGTGATGACTCTTTTGGGAGATATAGCCAAAAATGTGTTTTTTGAGTGATTTTTATGTTTTGTTGTCAGATTATGTATCATGGCGTTCTTTTATGGTCCACATTAGGTTAACGACTTTTATGTATTTTGAACAACTATTGTCTAACGCTTATCATGCCGGGTTGGTTCGTGTTAAATTATGTCTTGCTGGAGTGCAAGGCGTTGTTCTCTGACCGAACTACGTGATGGGGTAAAACGCCCCAGTAGGTCGCGGGGCAAAAAGCCCCTGGGGCGTTTTACCTCATGTGTTGTTCGGGCTACCCACTTCCTTATGTTCGGTAGCTGGCGAACAGTAAGTTTCTATGCCTTTATGTGTACTTTCTCAGCAACTGGATGGCAAAGGAAGTATTTTGTTAACATTTGCATTGCAATAATTTATTACTTGGTCTTATGAGGTAGGTGAAAAACCTGCTCATACAATAGTGTCATAGCTGAGCACCTGACAGGATGGAATGTGCTAATTTCAGTGCCGTGCCTCCAGAGGTCTAACGGACCTCTCACATAAGATTTAGCCAACTACCATGTTAAATCTTTAATCTAAAGTATGGGGCTACTTGCCCCAGGCCGTGGGGCGTTTTGCCCTGGGGTTGGGGCAAAATGCCCCATTTGCAGTTGCTTCACAAATCACTTCCTAGCTTGGAGTCCGATCATAAGTGAATCAATTTGAGGGGTGCAATTTAAAGTAAAATGTCCAAAGAACGCATTGAGCACAAATTTGGCCTTCCAGGTGATGTGGGACAAAATTTATGCAGCAAAATAAATTATCTGGGGCGTCTTGCCCCAGGCTACCCTACCACTGCGTGCCGGTGCTTCCACGACTTCCTTTTGCTAGTGCTCGGTGCAAGGCGCATTCCAGTTTTGGCCAGTAAAATAGGAAAGGCACAGGAACTGAGTGGTCAACGGAAGGGAATTCCTAATAACCAAAGCCACGACTCTGTATTTCATGTGAATCACTTGACGCTTGCATCCACCTGGGCCATTTCCATAACGATTAATGTAAGTGGATGCCTTTTCCTGAGGAAGTGCGATAGGTAGGAGCTAGCACCTGGCTATTGCATAGCTAGCACCGGTCATCAAATTTTTATATGCCATAGAATAGCTCATGTGAAACTGAAATGCCCCTGATGTATGTCAGCGATGGCTCTATATGTCATGCTCATCGCTCAGAGTGCTAAGCTCTTTCCAGCTCTCTCACATCCACACGTTTCTCGGCTCTCAGTCTCGGTCTCCCTCTTCCTGCCCCGGCCCGTGTTTTGACTCGGTCCGGCGCCGGATGTGGCGTACCGTGCCGTAGCGGCCGCCGGAAGTCTGGCCCGGCCCGGAAGGCCGCGGTGTGTCAGCCAATCAGACCCGGCCGACATACCGCGCCGGTGTGCTGGACAAACACTCCGCGTGCCAGACGGCCCACCTGGCGAGTCCCGCGGCTCACACCCCACTTCCCCTCGCCCCCCATGTCCTGTTTCTTTACTCACTTCCTCGCTCCCTCCCTTGACCCTCCATTCCTTTCCCTTCCCTTCGATGGATGCGTGGCTACAATAACATGTGCATGTGAAACGGTCGTTGTTGTGCCGGAAACATCAACGATTGATATTCGACCTTAGTTTGATACGGTCAGAAGTGAAATGATATGTCCTGGAATACTCTAGACTGTATGTAGGCTTATTCATGATACTAAACGGCCACGACAGAAATCCTGCACCGACGATCACGGACGATCACACCAGAAGTTCCTTAGCTCACCCCTGTTGCCAGCGAAGGTCGTTCACTATCGGTGACCACCGTCCACTTTCCATATGGTCCACACGGGCTGAAAACGCCGGAGAACCGTTTTAAAATTGGGCAACCAAAGAGCGACTGATGTATCCAACAGCTGTAATGTTATACCATGATACCTGCTGAATACGTGAATATCATTTTGCTCCATCAAAGGCGCATACATTTTGCGGTTTTGCGCGCCCGTCTGACAGAGATGGCTGCGGCTGTGGGAAACGGCTTCCCTCTCTGTCAGATATGCATGTTGCACAGGAACGAACATTTACTTTCTGGACAAGCTTATTAGCTTATACCAAATACCAATTAAACGTTCAGGATTAATTCTCCGGCAGACAGAGTACGTCATTATTTTCACCTGCATCCAGTCCGCCGACCATTGCATGCCTGCCCGTCAGTTACCCAGCACCACTTCACTGCGTGTCCGTTGATCCGCATACAATGCATGCACGCGCTCCAGCACAAACACATTCGCACCGCACGGACCGGTCGCCGGGCGTGCACCCCGAGGCCTTTGTGACGTGGCGAGCACCGGAGCGGTCCCCAGCCGGGACAGGACGGACGGGTGCGCGGCGCTGCAGGCAGCCGGCTCAGGCCGCCGGCGAAATGATGGGGCACGGCGGTGGGTGAGGCGCAGTGGGTTACTCAGAATTTTTAGAGGATGCCTGTCACCATTCTGGGCCGGCTGAGCTGAGCCCGCTTATTGCTAATGTAGACAGGCACCCGCTCAGTGGTTACCCACTTTGCTCCGTTATGGTTCATTTCACATTGCTGGTGCAGACCACCAAAGGTTGGTGCCGTTAAGTGGGACCCGTGCCATACCGCGGGGTTTCGTGTCGTACCGCTTAGTGCCGCGCCGCGGGCCCCATGCCGTATCGTGGGGGCCCCGTGCCGTGCCGTACCGGGCCGTGCCCCGCTCGGGCGCCCCTCGCCGGCCGGAGGCACGCAGCTCGCGGCTGGCTGGAGCGGGCGGCGCTGCTCGGCGCGGCGCGGCCGGCGGCGGTCCCGGCGGCCGGCCGCCGGACCGCATTCCAGAGGTGATCCGGCCGCAGCGCCGCGGGGCCGCGCCGCCGCCGCCGCCGGCGTCGCCACTCTCTCGCCGGCCGGCCGCTCCCGGCTCTGCCGCCACTCCCGCTCCGGGTGCACGGCCGCTCTGCCCGCGACACCTCGGGCAAGCTCTGCGCGCCGGCTCGGAGACCAGCCGCCCCGGCCCCGTTTCGGCAGGCCGTCCAGCCGGCGGCACTGGACGGCCTGCCTCCGGCCACGTCAGACAGGCTGGCTGCCAGCCGGCCCCGGGGCTCCCTCTCGTACCGACCGATCCCTGGGGCAACTGCAGCGAGCACCGAACGAGATCTGCCCTGCGGCAACGCCCCCGTACCGATGCCCCGAGCCACTGCAGTGAGCACTGAGTGAACGCTGCTCCTCGATACTCCCATACCGATCCTCCAAAGTCAGTGCAGAATACCGAGTGACTGAGCCCTGCGGCTACTCTCAGCCCCCGCACCGATTTCCGAGCCACTGAGTACAGAGGCGGGGCCGACCGGAAGCATACAGCTCGCGGGGCGACTTCTTCCTTATCTGCCCCGCGAATACTTCCTAACCTCACCACACCCCCTTTCTCACCGACGCCCCCGGACCAGTGTAGCGAGTTCCGTTTGCGGCCTATATTGGCACTCTTGCAGCGCTGCATCGCCGGTGGCGGAACTGACCTCTCTCCGGTATGCCCCGGCGCAGTGGCCTCTCCCCGACCCGCGAGCGACGAACGCTCTGCGTGCCGGCAGCGTATGTACCGTGCGGATATTTCCACGCTCTGTTAGCTCTGTGTGTCAGCACTCTCGATACTCCCTCTCTCCACGACTGGGTCTGTGGTATCACGAGTTTCCTTCTCCATGAGCCTAAGCTCGGGGTTCGGAGTTCCTTCGTCGACCACCGGAGATCAGTTCCTGGCCAGGGTACCGGGGCTCGTCCCCTGGTGAGTCTGCAGGAGAGTACTGGCGCGACAACGACTTCGGTGAGGCTAGATAGGGAAATGAAGCGTTAAAATCCGCGGTATGCTCGATGTATTGCGGTAGAGAGTTATTCAGAGCCAGCTCTGGTTAGCGGTTACCGGTACGTTGGCCACCGGCGCTCGATAAACCTGTCTGAGACAATTATGCTAGGTTCTGAGAGAACATAGCATAATTGCATATCACAGTGCGCAAGCCAGACTTGTATGTGGCAGGTACCGGCCTGCTGATACTGGCGCTGCACGATTTCCGCCCTGTTTTCCTTGGGCACTGGTGGCCTGTTTGTTCTGAAACGTAAACAGACTGGTCAGGAATTTTGATATGCATTCAGTCAACAACTGCAGTTTTTCTTCGCTTGCAGGCAATGAAGATAAGAAGAGCCAGAGCTTGCCGGGCTACTTCTGAACTGAAGTTCCATATCTTACGATTTGCAAGGCGGAATTCAGAGTCGAACTTTGTCTTCACATCCAGACACATAAGTGAATTAACCGACTCACTGAGTTTATCTGATCTGAGACACAATCTTTGCCGAAGTCATTCATTAGTTATCATCGTCAGGACTCTGGGGCAAATGGCGAGCACGCCGAGGCGACTCTGAACGGCATTCGTCACAGGTTTAATCAGCGCCCGAACGCTATCGGCTCTCATCACTCAGTTGCTGAGGCGCTGACCATTCACGATGTCACTCTTAACGTCTTACGTTGTTTTGACAATATTTGTGCTGAGTTGAACCTCTTGGCGTCTATGTAGGATCGTATTAGTCGTCGGCGTCTCTAACAATGCACTGCAGTACCCAGTTTTGCCATTGCTCTCATTTGTCAGCTACTTGCGCCCGTCGCAACGAACTGTTCAGTTCCTCAATATTGTGTCTACATTCTACAACAAAAGCACATGAGGACGTTCTATGGTGACGATCTGATAAGATATGACAGACTGTCTATTATAATGCACATCCGCCTGGGGTCCCTGAACTTAGAAAGTTCAATGCACCAGAAACCGTATGGCTCAGATCTGCCATCTGTTCTGCGTCTGTTTTCATCTCTCGTCAATTAGCGTTCTTCTGCCGGTATGCGGCGTATGTCTGCTGTTCATAGCGTGGTGTCTGCTGACCGGCCTACTTCTACGCTCTGCCGCCGCCGGGCTTCGGGCCAGGGTAATACTTTGGACGGACGGAAGACGGTGGGTGCGGCGAACCCTGCACATGAGCTGGCGTGCAGCGATCCCGGGTGACTGTGTTGTACCGCCAGCCATCATGTTATACGAAACACCGGCTGGCAAGGCGGCTGTACCGCTGAACCACCGGACAGCATGGCAACTGTACTGCTTGGCGCATAACCTTACCGACCAGCACAACAGCAGGGCGCCTGTGCTACCGACCAGCATGATCGCTGCGGTCACAGGCCAGCAGGACGGCTGCAATCACAGCCGAGGCCAGCACGTCAGCAGGGCCGCCAGTCGGTGGCAGTCGGTGTCATTGATTGATATTTGAGGTGTTGCTGCGCCGTCTCAGTTCGTCACAGTCCGAGCTCCAGTATCCTTCGCGGCATGCTGGTATTGCTGGCAGCCCGAGGGCAGACCTCATAGGACGCTAATCGATCAAAAGCTGCCCTTTACACTGCGCCGATGCTGTAACCACTGTGTCAAGTCCGTTACGATTAAAAGGTGTTCACCGCTCTCTAAACCTCCGCACGGATTTCATGCATCTGCAAGAGATGCAGGCCAAGCGAATGATGCATATTAATTTTAGAGCGAGCTCCGGTTATCAGATCGATCAGATTGACAGGGCTGGGGTGTGTCGACGCCAGTGGGATCAGCTGCTGTCAGTTTAGCCACTCCATGTCAATCCATATGTCGGTGGGGTCGTGTCCGTGTCGACGGGGTCAGCCGGTATGGGCGGCCGGTGAGAGAGTGCCCGGGGCCCGGCCCGCCGGCGGCCGGCCGCCGTTTCTAGCCGGGGGCCGGATTTCTCCGGCCGGGCGGCGGCGTGACGTGGCCGGCGGCGCCGCCGCGCGCGGCCCACTGGCTCCGGCCGCGCCGCCAGCCTTGGCACGCGGTGGTAAAAAGGAGAGTCTCAGAGCGGTGCGGAGACGGGCGCTGCCCCCTCCCCCCGCCGGCGGCGGTGGACCGGCCCGCCGGGCAGACGGAGACGAGAGGCACTGGGGCGCTCTGAGGGCAGCCGTCAGCGGCGCGGCAGTCTCTCTATTGGAGACATCAAGCGCTGCCATTCGAGCAGGTGTTACACACCGTGTTAATTGGCGTTCATTCTGCCCCGCATCGCTCTAGGATCGCCATACGTAATTCCTCAGTCGGCAATTTATTGCCCCTATAAATATGCTTAAATGGTCGTTGGTCATGAAATATGTGAACAGCCCAGAACATGCATTGGTGATGTTATACCCGGCCGCGGTGTATGTATTAACACTTTCCGGCTCTGTTTGAAGACAGACATTGTGAAATAGATGCTGTTCCTGGTTTCTTCTTGCTCGCTGTAGTATGAAACCAATGCAATTTAATATATCGTTTTTGGTGACGGAAATGTACCAAGGCATCATATGGGAAGTTTCAAATCCCTACCCGAACCATCTATGAGTTCGGGTGTATTGCCATCATTGAGAGAGAATCTTTTATTCGTGATAAATTTACATTGGATTGTATTGTTGCTGAACCCACCGATGGTTGTTGGCGATTGGTGATGGCAAATTGAGAGGTTCTCTGGTAAGTCACAATGCAAATTTGGGTGCAATGCCCGTGCTCCATACTATATCGCTCAAAGAGTTTGAGTCTGCACTGTTTACGCTTTGAATTGGACGAAATAGGGATAATTTATCCATTGTTACTTACTGAACCAGTCTGTTTGTTCCTTATCTAATTGGTGATCCAGTCTGTTCGAGTGCCGATTGCTATGCGCAGTATTGTATGCCATAACATCGGCTGCCATCGGGCCCGTGATGTAGCATACATCAGACGCTGCCCAAGGGGATGGGAAGAGGACAGCACAGAGCTGGTCGCACTGTGTCCACTCGGAGCCCGGGGCGGATTGATGTCCCGCTGAATGTGTAGGGAAATATACGGGATGTGCTTGAGATCCGGGCGAAAGAAGTAACGAACGTACACATCTATAAGCAAGCAAAGAAAGAAAGGAAAGAGAGAGAGAGAGAGAGAGAGAGAGAGAGAGAGAGAGAGAGGGGGGGGAGGGGGAGAGAGAGAGGGTAGAGGGAGGGAGAGAGAGCGAGCATTCAGATATATTTATATGAAAGGCAGGTAGAGATGAAGAGATTAAATAAACATTAGACGGAGTTTTCAGTTATTAAGCACCACATGGTAAAGTGAGGGAACACAAAATACTGCTTCAATCTCAGAACGAATCCAGTCGTTGTTTGTCGCTCGACCTGACCTGTGTCTAACCCGCCGCGATGACCTTTCGCAGGTTGATCTCCCCGGCGGGGTCACCCAACATCTCTCCGGGCTCTCTTCACTCGTCGTCGCCCACGCCGCTAAACAACAACAAGCTGTCGCCGTCGCTGCCGGCGCCGCCCAAGGCGTCCCCCACCTCCGGTCACCACGGGAAGGTTACCGGCATCCCGACGGTGGCGGCCGCGTCCAGGTGAGGACGGCGCACGGATCGGAGGAACGGAAGAGGGGAGACATCGGCTCACACTATCGGACGGTGCGCCCAGCTGACGGATCCAGAGGCACCTCTCGCGAGGGCACCTCTAAAAAAATCGGTCATTGCTGTACTCGCAAATATGGTCCCTAATAGCATAAAGTAGGATAATTTTATCAAAGATACTTTTGTCTTTCATCTTTACCTCCGGTGTCAAAAAATATGAGGCGGAAGATCATGTCTGGTTTCTTATTACAAGGACAGTCAATGACAGAATGCACTGCACACATCCGACGAAACATTACCATAAAATCGAAAAAAAGTTTACCATACCATGGAAGGGGACCGCCGACTCACGGTGTTGCAGTCTCCGATCGCAGTAAGAAACTCGCATACTGTGCCGCATAACACGTGGTGCTATCGTCCTATCGCGTCGCTGCAGTCTCCTGTAGCAGTCAACACCGCTGGAGGTATACCGTGCCGCAGTGCAGCTGGTGTTACCGTCCTAGTCGGGCAATGCAGTCTCCGGCTCTGCGGCTCCAAGGCGGCCGCTACAGCGCGGCGTTCGACCGGCCCGCGCTATTGTTGCTGAGGACGATGTCCTCGCAGCTTCGGTACGACTCTGGCAGTATAATTTGTGACTCAGGGTGTAAGGTGGTGCAGCGGGCCTCTCAGCGTTGGTCGGTGCCGGCCGAGCCAGTTCGGATGGTCCCCCGCCGCGTGGGGGCCCACGCAGATGCACGCACGGGACACTGAACAATCTGCTCTGAGCTGGAGCCCGACTAGCGTTGTGATTAATCGCGAGGATGAGATAATCTGTTAGGGTACTCCAGTCTAGTAGCGTAGTCCCATCGTTTTGTGTAACTGCACGCGCGTTTATTTGCACAATTTTTACATACCTACCTACCTTTTTAACTTTCAACTTTAAAGCTTTCTGTTGGCTGTTGTTTACTTCTAACTTTTCTTGGCTTTTTGACAGTTATGTTAGGATTTCAACATTCACTCGACTCAGTTGGTCCTAAAAAATCGATTGTCGAATCATTTTTGACGCGACATTTTTTTCTTTCTCTACTCTTTCGTGTTTGTCGTGATTTATTTCGGAAACTGCCGTCCCGTTTGCAGCACTGGCGTGTAGTATGTGCCCCTTTTCCCCTCCCTTCCACAGTCCGATGACGCCCTTTCCCACCGGCAGGTACACGGCGCCGGTTCACATTGACGTCGGAGGAGTCATCTACACATCGTCACTGGAGACACTGACCAGGTGGGTGCCAGTGCTGAACAGGCCTCGGTGCTGACTGCCAGCCCACAGGCGATACACGGGTCTTTAAGGGTGACACAGGTCACATATGTCACACGACTGAGATATTGTGAGGCTGTGAGGGTTGTCCTCATTGCTAAGGCCTGCAAATGTCCAAAGCGCCTTTATGGTCTTTAGGGAATCTAAGGACAAAAGCATCTCTCGCCGATTAGATCTCTACAAGCGACTACTGATTATTCCCGTCCAACTTCCTTAAAGTTCAATTTGTGGCTGCGGGTCTCCGCGGCACCCATTTATCAACTTATTCCCCACCCCTCCTTTACTGACTTTTCCCGTCACTTATGCTTTACAGACTCCGCCCACGGGCGCATACCTTGTCGTTTTTTCCCACCCCGTGCATTACCTTATTAGTCCGTCGCCAACTTCTCCCGGTCATCCTCGACTGTCGGAGCTTTGAGTCGTTTTATCGGCCGGAGTCGCTCTATCTGCTGGAGTCGCTCTGTCTGCCCGAGTCGCCCTGTCTCCTCCGGAGTCTCTTTCGGAGACGTTCTATCTCACGCTAAGTCTCTTCCCGAGTCGCTATGTCTGTCCGAACCAGTCTCTCTCCCGCGGAGTCTGTCGGAGGCGCTCTGTTTGCCGCAGTCTTTGCCCAAGTCGGTCTGTCTGCCCGAGTCGCTCTATCTCCGCGGCAGGGCTGCGGAGTCGGAGTCGGAGTCGGAGTCGGAGTCGGTCAGAGTCGACAGTTGTGACCGGAGTCGGAGTCGGAGTCGGAGTCGATTTTAGAAACCCGAGCCGGAGTCGGAGTCGGAGTCACCGAAAATCTGTCGCCTCCGCAGCCCTGCTAGGTCTGCGGAGTCGGAGTCGGGAGTTGGAGTCGGTCGGAGTCGACAATTCTGCCCGGAGTCGGAGTCGGAGTCGGAGCTGGTTTTTGAAAGCCGGAGTGGGAGTCGGAGTCGCCGAAAATCCATCGACTCCGCAGCCCTGCTCCGCGGAGTCTCTGCCGGAGTCGCCCTGTCAGCCGGAGTCGCTCTGTCCCCCGCCGACTCAGCCCGAGTCACCATCCCCCGCCGACTCTGCCGGAGTCGCTCTGTCTGCCGCGCGGACCAGCTCTGTCAGTGGGCGGGTCTCTCTCGGCCGTAATCACTCCATTGTGTTTGGAGGTCAGGGAGACGCCACAGTATGGTTACATTGCTCCGTCCTCCCCTCTTTCCCGTCTACCGCAACGAGCTCTGTCGACTGGTTCTATTCAAACGGGTCAAGAGAATGCGGAATAGAAACACTGGGTAAGATTAAAGCTTGCAAAATGCTTCTCAATGCCTAAGCAAAAAGAAACAAATATACGAGTATGTAATAGGAGCATTCTGTCTTGATGGTTGGATTTTTATATTCACGCAAGGATAACCATGAAAATTATATAACGCTTGCCAGAATTAACGTAAGTTTACAACGCGACGGTGAAATTAGTGGCGCATGCTTGACATTCTATAAAACGCCCGTTTTAATTACATGATGTGTTGTTGTGACGGCTCCACATCAGCTGTTTCGACGCTCGCCTGTCTATGCGCCTAATCAGGGGTAGGTATATCGGTTCGAGAGACGCCGCCCAGCCACCTGCCCCTCGGCAGGCCGGGCCGGAGCGACCAAACCTCCGACCTTTCTACACGGCGTGGCCCGCCCCGGGCACAATTACCAAACCGGCCCGGCCGGGCGGCGCCCGCGGCCCTCGGGCAGCGCTGAGATGACCCACATGGCCGCCGCGGCCGCCGCCCGCCGCCCGCCGGCCGCCTATATAAGGCGGCGACGGGCCGCGGGCGGCGGCCGGCCGGCCCGCCGGCGGCCTGCCTGTCGGTGGGGCTGCGGCGGCTGCATGTGGGTTAGTGGCCGGCGCCGGCGGCACACCGCCGTTGCACGCCGGGCCAAGGAATGTGGCCGGGCCGGCCGGCTGCTGGCGCCGGGCCGCCGCCGGCACAGCGCGCGCCCGCCGCCGGCGCCGGCCACTTCATTAGGGGAGTCGGGCGGTCCGACCCGACCACATGCAGCCGCGGCGCCGGCTGACCGGGCGCGGCTCTGTCACCGGTTCAGCAGACTGTCAGTATCGGGTCCACTGGGTGTGCTGCGGCCCGCTGGCATACAGAAATCCCCAGCTGTTGTCGCTCCGACATAGCGCACCAGCTACATCTGATCGATAGTGGTATTCAGCAAAGGGAAAGATGCTGTCATTGTTACACTGGTTCTCTATGTTATTATGCAGTGAATGGAGATTCGAACATACCAGTGGAGAGAGATATGTGCTGGCGCGTTGCATGTTACATGTCCGTTTCTTTTATACTGAGTGACCATATACTTACCCACATTTACCTTATCTGGCACTTGCCCATCTCAGCTCCTTGTCATAGTTCAAATTCCATCGCATACTCGGCTCGGTCGTTTTTTTAACCCGCGCCCCACTGGGGTCTGCGTATAACACGCCCTACTGGGGGGGGGGGCTATTCATAGCCCCCCCCCCCCTCCTAACTCCAAAACTACTGGGCCGATCGTCAAAATTCAAACGGCGTCTGATAGCCCCGGAAAAACTGTCGAGCGAAACCTAATTTCATTGACCTCGAGGTCACCGATGACGTCACAGGTCAGGTCAAAGTAAAAATTATTAGCATTTTGGCTTCTTGACGTTTTGGGCTCTGGCCGCCGTCTTACAAGTCAGATCAGGCTCATTTTTGGTTCACACACTCGTGAACAGATGCTCTAGATACTCTGAGGGTACCAAACTTGTACTTTGATTTTCAGGTCAAGGTCAGGTCATCACAGGTCACGAAAATATTATATCATCCGTCGGTCACGTGACGCATGTTTTATGGTCCATGTAGGCCAAACATTTCGAATTTGATGTCGTCTGTGTCATTCGAGGTCATTTTGAGTCAAATTTAGCTTAGGTCTTTTTTTTTAAATTTTTAAGTTAATTTTTTTTCAACAAAAAAGGTGTCTATTGGATGCAGTTTGAGCTCAGGAACACGATGGTGCTATTTATATTGGCGTACAATGTCAAATTTGTGCTGAAAAATTGATTTGAAAAATTAATAATTGTTAATTTTTTTGCAATAATGCGTATAACTTGGCCATTTTTGAAGATATTTAGCTGAAACCTGCTAGAGTTAGTCATAATAATGCGTTCTATTACATGTATTCCGTTTTTTTCTAAAAGTCAATTTTTTTTTTAAAATAAATGTAACAATATTATTTTGAATTTTATTATATAACGTTTTCGAAATTTTCAGAATTTCGAAATTCCGAGATAGCAGTTTGATAGCGCAGTCTATTCTGAGTCGTCTCATGCAAAAAAATTGGATGTAGCTTAAAAACTGAGCTCTTGGGAGCGATTGCCGTGGTTCAATGTTTTGCGTCGAAATCGGCCGAACATGACGTCACTCTGACGTCATTTCCGGCCGACCTATGGTAGGTACGAAGTTCAAATTTTGACACAAGGTGTCAAATTGATGCAGCCGAAGGTACTGAAAGTTTGGCGTCGATACGTCAAGCGGTTTGGAAGTTATTGCAGAAAAACGGGAGGGGGGCTATAAATAGCCCCCCAGTGGGGCGCGGGTTAACGTCAGTCCTCGACTCTCATAACTTTTTTAGCATGCTAGATGATAATCTGAGGCTGCAATGCATAGTATTTAATGTTGAGCTCGGTTGAACCTTTTAAACAATTAAACCGCCTCGATCTGTGAACTGATAAATTCGAGTCAACTCATCGTGTGGATTATTCGCACGATAATCAGGCGCACTGTATTCCGCTAAATACGAGCATTTACCGGCTCTGAGCGTGGCGAGTGGGGCACCTGTCTACTGTGCCACGACCAGGTGACTATCCGTGACCACGGTGACCGTTGACTGGTGATAAATGATCGAATACCGGTGATAAATACCTGCGACTGGTCTGCCACCGGTTTGTGCTCACCGCACCAACAGAAGGCAGCTCGGATCGCAGTTTTCCGGCCTCGCTCCGTCGCCGCCGGGGCCGCGTCGCAGTATTGGCTGTGGCCGGCGGCGCTCCCCTCCCCCCGTCCGTCCCCCTCGCGCTGCCGCCCGGTGGCGCTCATTTATTCGGAGAGCTGGTCTGCGGCGCAGCTCAGCGAGCACGTGGGCCGGTCGGCAGGTGCCCGCGGGCGGCGCCGCCGGCTCAGCCGCCGCTGCCGAGCGGCCTGTTTGCCGTGGACGGCGCGGCGCTGCCGCCGGCACCGCCGCCGGCCCTAATATGGAGCCGAGCCGCCCGGCCGGTCTCAATGCAGACGCCCCGGGCCGCGCCGACGGGCATTTTCCACATCAAACGCCGGAAAACCATTGGAAATTCAATATGGCCGCCGGGCGCGTGCGGCGCCGTGCGGTGAAGGTGCAGTGGGGCTCTCGGCGGCCGGCTGCGGCGAGCCCACACGCTGCGCCAGCGCCGCCCGGTGGTCGGGCACAGAAACCGGCTCCGCCCACAAATACCGGCCGACCCACACTGTGCACCGTATGAAAACCCGCAGCGGGCTGGCGGCAATGACTGCTGGCTGGTATCACCATATAGTGATTAACCACGGGTCGGGCCATTTTAAATCCATCGACGCAGTATGTAAATGCAAACGGCGAATGATGGGTCACAGGCCATTTTTCGCTACCTGTCGCCCAGCATGACAAATGCATCTGCATTTGATACTAAACCGAACTGGAAAATGTTTATTGAAAGTCTGGGCTTCAGTCAACTCCGTTCTCTTTCTATTTCAGGATCTAGCTATCCTCAATCCTCTTCCTTCACATTGCCATGTCTGGACTTACGGTCGCTTCATAGACAGCCGAAGAAGGTCAGGGACTCGGGTTACCTCCAGAAAGAACATTCAACATTCCTACCCACCCAGAGAAACCGTTAGGTGGCCTTGGTAGGTACCTGTGTACGTGTTACCTGCTGGCATTTTATTTATTTTTGTCAAGTGCAGATATCGGGACTGTAGTCGAGAGTGACATTTGCTGTCTGCCCGGCAGATACCCAGAGACCCGGCTCGCTAAACTGTTCAACGGACAAGTGCCGATCGTGCTCGACACGCTCAAACAGCACTACTTCATCGACCGCGACGGCAAGATGTTCCGGCACATCCTCAACTTCATGCGCAGCGGCAAGGTGTGCGTGCCGGACGACTTCAGCGAGATCGACTGTCTGATGGAGGAGGCGCGCTTCTTCGAGGTCCAGGGTGAGTGCCGTGAGACGGAGTATCTCCCGGCCGTTGTAAAGGACAGTCCTGTATCCAGAGCTGTGAGCCGGAACACCTCTCGGCCGGTGGAGAGGGCTCTCCTGTGTCTAGCAATGTAGCAGGTGCAAAATGCCAAAGTTGAGCCTTGGTTGACTCCTCAGCCATTTTTCTGATATTGGATGACGATCGGTCTGTTCTTTACTTTTTCTGAGCTTCCTTATGACCGTACCATAGCGTACCATTCAGTGCTGAGAGGCTGTATCCATCCTTCAGAGACCTCTAAACGCCAAGTCTGACCTCCCTCTAACTTCCTCTGACCCCCCTGACCTCCCTCTCTGCCCTCGGTCAGGTATGGTGAAGCAGCTGGAGCAGCTGCGCCGTCAGAGGGCGCAGCGGCTGGCGCGCGCCGGCGGACAGGCGTCGCCACCAGTCGCGCAGCACGGCTACCATGTGGTGGCGCTACACATCTCACCCGACCTCGGCGAGCGCGTCATGCTCTCCGGCGAGCGCAAACTCATCGAGGAGACCTTCCCAGAGGTGAGCTGCCCTTGGTGACCCCAGGAGCTACCTCAGGGGCTACCCCAGGGGCCAGGAGCCACCTTATCAGGTAGAGCTGGCCAGTGGCCACCTTTGGTGAGCTTCTCTAGACGAGCTCCAGAGCCTGATGACTGGTGAGCTTCTCTAGACATCTAAGTCTAGACTCTCTGATAGCCCTCTCCAAAGACCTTCAGGGCTCCTCGTCTCGTGTCGATGTGTTATAGTCGTTGACGGTCCGTGACGTGCCGTTACAACCCAGGTAGCATAGTCGTTGACACCCCGTGACGTGTTCGCTGACGTCCGTTGACGTGTCGTTGCAGGTGGTGCAGGCGCTGATGGACAACCGGACGTCAGTGGCGTGGAATCAGTCGGACCCGGAGCACGTGGTACGCTTCCCTCTGAACGGCTACACAAAGATGACCTCGCTGCAGGCCATCCAGCGGCTGCTGGCCGACGGATTCCAGGTGCGTTCAGACACACGAACACTAGTGCTACATCTCGCACACGATCGCAAATTCGCAAACACGATTTACAAGAAAAAAACACCCATCCCAGCCACCTACCCTGTTAGTACCTACTCGCATGGCACAGTGCAGTAGATACAGGGTGTCCAGATAAAAGATACTACGGAAATTAAGTCGCATTCATTAACGCACGTGCCGATTTTGTTCCAACTTCATGTGCTTATAGTACAAGATTTGGCAAAACTCCTGAGCACTGTAATGCGTCGTTGGAAAGTTGTCTGCCTGCCCTCCGAGATGGTCAACATGACCATCAGTCACCTGCAGACCGTGCTAGTGCTGGAGCTGATCCGCCGTAAGGCCGCTCACATTGAGTATGTGCTTTGAGAAGCTGCCGCGACTAACCAAAGAGGTTACATGCCATGTGGCACCTGCTGCCTGTTTTGCCATATTTTTGCGAATACAAGCATGTGCCATTTTCAAATGTAAGGTGTTTATTTTTGGAATTACAGCAACAAATAATAGTATCCGTTTTTTCTGGACACCCTGTATAGCCGGCAGTCATAATCGCCAGGCTGCGAGTACGAGCTGTTACCTGTCCGGACCGTCCGCGCTGCTGATCCCTGGTCCGTAAATGGCTGGTCCGTGTCTTTATCTGCCCAAGCTTTGCTCTTCCGTGACTGGTCTGTCCGTGGGTGGTCCAACCATATCTGGTCCACCCTTTTGTGGTCCGTACTTGCTTGGTCCGTGCGAGCGTGACCCGGCCATGCGTGATCCTTCGACCACTGGCTCACCTGCTTGTGCAAGTCGACTATCTACACAAGTCTGTTCCGTTCTGTGGCGGTGTTCTGATCACTGATGGTGTCTCTCTCGTCCGCCGGTAGATCGTGGCCAGCCTGGGCGGCGGAGTGGAGGGCCAGCAGTTCTCGGAGTACATATTCTCCCGGAGCCGACAGCCGCAGTGACCGGCGGCCGGGACGCGACGACAGAGTGCCAAACGCCGCCGGCCCGGCCGCTCCGAGGGAGGGGCGGTCGGGCCACAGCACGGCTGGCTGGGGGATGGGTGTGACCGCACACCTCCGGGGGACACGGGGAGGGACCCAAAGGGTACGCCGCGCCGGCCCAGTCATGGCGTCGGCGGCTGACATAGGGTAGGCTCCGAATGCGTAAATGTTTATTGCCTGGCGCCGAGTAACGGTTTGGCCATGCTCTGAGACGACGGGCGATGGTGGCGGCAGCAGCCTCCAGTCGGCGCCCTCCAGTCAGTCTCAGTATCGTGCCACAGCCGCCGAGCGTCCACAGAAATCAAACGGAGCGCCTGCTCCCGGCCCGGCGCGGCACCGGTCGCCCCGGGACCGCCGCGTCGCGCCGCCCGCACACCCGGTATATCGGTAGAGATAGAACGAGCTTATTGTCCTGTTGGGTGTCGGCACAGCCGCCGCCGTGCCTCCGCTGAACCGATCCGTGCCATAGCTGGAGGGAGCACCGCCGCGCGCCACACGCTATTCTGGGGTACACGTTACGAGTGGGTTGTGTGCGCGTGTGTGACCGTGATAAGCGTTATGTGTCCAACGGAATGAATGGGGAAACAGTGACATATTGGTGAATTTTTCATTTAAGTGCAACGAATAAATGTTATATTCGAGCCCAACAAACAGTGTTTCAATACGAGCCGTTTTCAGACATCGAGTCCTTAGTGAAATAATTTTGCTTGCACTAAGGTGATCGATCTTCACCAGATGACATCATAATTACCTATCGTTATAAGTGTGTACCTATCTACGTTTCACTGTATGCACTGACACGGGATTTTATTTTTTCAAGAGCCTTGGTCTTGGTCAAGGTCTTGCTTGGTGGCCCTTTCACCAGTCGCCTGCTGGCCAGATGTATAACTAGGTACTTGTTTAAAGCGGAACGTGATCCTAGCGACATGCTGCTGGCTGTTCTGAGCCAAGGTATATAGAGAACTTGTTCTGAGCCTTCAAAACATCTAGCAGGTACATACTGCCCTTGATCTAGCACCTCGCCGCTAATGAATAAGATTTACAAACATTACGATTTCACCGATGCTGCTTTACTCGGGGAATAAAAAACATGCCAGCAGACAACATTTCAAGTTTGTAGCCTAGTCGCCAAATTTGTCGCATTTTGAGTTTTTTCTTTGTGGGAACTGGGAAGTCGGAGTCGATGCGATAGGTGATGATTTTTAGGAATATATTTGTGGATTTAAAGCTCTCATGCTTCTTTTCTACTTATATCGATGTACTTTACCATCAATTCGCATATTTGACAATTATTCATTGAATCCAGGCATCATAAAAATCATATCAATGTATGCTTCCCTGAGTTCCCAGCCTCATGGTATTTACTATTTTAGAAAACATTGAATTTCCACAATTCCTATTGCATTTGATTTGATTGATGCAATGTCACAATAATGTTTTGTTCAGAAGTAACTTAAGTTGAAATATGAGTCGGTGTTGGTGTTAGTCGAGGATTTTAAAAGAGGTCCCGAGGTTTGCAGTTCAGCGGGAGAGCTCCATTCAGAAGCATTTCATGATTTCTTTGGAGGATGATGTGTTTAGAAAAATGGTTAAAATATGTCACATTTTCATGATATCATGCTGGGTTAAATTGTTAATATTTTAAAGGTATTATCAGGGTTTTTTCCGAAATTTCGGAGTTACTCAGTGAAACGTGTAGAAGAAGGTGGCTGAGGCCCCAATCCGAAGTCATTCGTCTCAAAATTGCCTAATTTCCAAATAGTGGGCCTCCAAAGTTGATCCGTCTGCCAGCCAGTACCTGGAGGAGGCAGTACCAAGTACTCGGATACATTTCCCTATAAGTCCATAGGCTTAACACTAGCTAGAGACTTCTAGAGATATTTTTTATGCCAGATAAGGCCGTCGCATACCAGATAAGGCCGCAACGGCCGTTCAACGTTACGTGGGGAAATGGGAGAAATCTAAAGACTTTTTTTCTCTGACGTCTCCACTCCAATATCTCTAGCGCAACTGGCAAGCGTTGTTAGCATTGGCTTGTGTCGTCGTAAATAAGAATTGTTTGACGGATATTCCGTAAGTTGAGTGTGTTGTTGTAATTTCTGAGGCTGTATGAGTTGGACGGAATGGCGCCATCCCGCCATGTGCGAAATCTGTGCGAAACAAAGCTGTTCCTATTCATATTTGAATGTTCAAGACTTGTGGGCTTTGTAGCCAGTGCGTGTAGCTTCTAGATATCCTGTGGCCTGTGGGTTATCAAAAATCAAAATAATTAAAAAATTATGTTGTGTGCTTTCAAACTAAGCTCATCCCGAGTGTAATTCAAGAATGTCTTAGTTCAAGCAATTAAACTTGAAAGTGATATAGCTCCAGCAATGAATTCATTGCTGGAGCTTCTTAAGAAGCTTGGATGGAACGTTGAACCAAAGTTACCTATCATTTGTAATGTTAATGCTAAGTGCTGAACGTTACCAATTATTCGAGACATCCGTTGTAAGATGTATGACGCAGATCAACTTTGATCAAGTGAAGAAAATAGATTTCAGATGAAATAATGTCAATGTTCAAGGCTGAGCGACTGGCAGATTTCGGAGTGAGTACGAGTGGCCTTGAGACATTCTGTTTCTGTAGGTACTCAAAATAAATAAATTATCATGTTGTGTGCTTTGAGGTTAAGTGTTATCAGTGGTGCTTCATGGTTGTGCTTTGTTGTTGGTGTATGGGCATATTTTGAGCACATTGCAGCATGATATTGGTGGTGTGTTAAGCAACTGATCTCCGCAGACCTTGCACTTACTTGCAAAGCCTGCGGACTGACTTTGCAGACTGGCTGACAGTGAGCAATGCATTGCTGACTGATATCATTTATTCTGTGTTTGTAGCACAAAGTACAGAAGTGGCACATACATTGTTACTTTGAAAACCTTATGTGAATTTGATGTAGAAAATTGGTGACTGACGTTGAGTCCTTACGTATTGTGAGTAGTGTACAGCTGGTGCATTGAGCACAGACTTGAGACCAGTGGCGTTTGTATCAGTAGACTGTGTTTGAGTCTACTTATATGGGTAGTCATAAAGCAGGCGTCACACTTCTTTTTGCAACCAAGGAGAAGCGCTATACCCAGAGTTGCTTTGTCATCCAACCTTACCGAACCAAACCTAACCAAACCTAACCTTACCTACAACCTAACCTACAGTGCCTCTCTTCGTTCGTTCATGGTTGCAAAAAAAAAAAAACAAGTGTGACGCCTGCTATACTACTACCCTTATATGGCCTTGGTTTGAGTGTGGTGACCGAGTAAGCTGGTGTGTATAGCCATGCAATAAGTGTTTTGAAATATATTTTTGGGACAGTATTGAAATGGTGTGTTTTGGCCATCTGGCATGGATGATGGAAAGCCACGAACTCAACTTCAGGAACGCTTCTTCATTATGGGCCTGTTCCAGCGCCTCCAGTAAAAATTCTTGACTGGAGGCTCTACCAGAGGTTTCACTGGAGGCGCTGGAACGCAATCTGGAGATTTCTGGAGATTGGCATCACATATACCAAAAGAATGACGATTGTTCTCTCTTGAAACACAAAATTTATTTTCAATTTTATTAAGAAAGATTAACAAAAATTATAGCAATGTAATTTTCTTTACATTCAAGTTGTAAAATAATCAGTCAAAATCCTTTGTTTACATTCGCGATTGTCACATGTGCGCCATAATTGTAGACAATAGCCTCCAGAGAAATTTGGACCTCTCAACTCTCTGGAGGCTACTGGAGGTTTCTGGAGCTTTGGCGAGAGCTTTCTGGAGCTTTCTGGAGGCGCTGGAACGCTCTCTGGAGGATTCTAGAGCTTTCTGGAGCTTTCTGGAGGTTTCTGGAGGCGCTGGAACAGGCCCTATGCTCATCTAAGGCACAATCATCTATTTTCTCTTCGCAAGGATTGATTACTAATTCACTGTCAATTATAACCTGGTCCAGAAGGTTTCGCTGGGCCACACGGTTCATACAGATTCATCCACAGTGCTCAGCAGTGCATGTTTTCAGATTTCAACAGACTGTAATTGTTTCTGTATGTACATATGCATCATGCAAGGGTACAACAGATGCGGTATTTGGTAAGCAGTTGGCAGCAAGGTGGTGTTTGTACTTATTGGCAGAACCAGTTGAGCAGGACTAAAACTATCCTAGTTTCTCTCCAATTTACTCAGATCCGTCTCAACACATTGAACATATTGAAAGCGTCCATCCATGAAGATGTCTGCATGTATACTCATTTCCGAGAAGGCACGCTCGTCGCTCATCCATTACCGAGCAGGCACGTGCGTGCCCATCGTGCCATCGCCGGCGCGCATTAGCGCGCGTCCATGGCTGGGGCGCACGCGCGCGGCCATGGCCGGCATGCACGCGCGCGCGCCCATTGTCGGCACGCAAGCGCGCGCGCGTCCATAGCCGGCGCGCGCGCCGCGTCCTTACCCGGCGAGAACGCCGCGTCCGTACCCGGCGCGCACCCGCGCGCGTCCACAGCCGGCACTGACAGACCCTGACCGACGGGCGTGCTGCCGTCGGCGGTCCTGACAGATGGGCGGCGGGCCCGGCTCCCGCAGCTCCGGCAGCGGGCGGCAGCCATGGTCGGCATACACGCGCGCGCGCCCATCGTCGGTACGCAAGCGCGCGCGCGCCCATCGTCGGCACGCAAGCGCGCGCGCGTCCATAGCCGGCGCGCACCCGTACCTGGCGCGCACCCGCGCGCGTCCGTACCCGGCCCGCACCCGCGCGCGTCCACTGCCGGCACTGACAGACCCTGACAGACGGGCGTGCTGCCGTCGGCGGTCCTGACAGATGGGCGGCGGGCCCGGCTCCCGCAGCTCCGGCAGCGGGCGGCAGCTCCGGTGACTGTTCCGGCAGCTCCGGCAGCGAGCGGCGTCTCCGGCAGCGCTCAGCAGCGGCGCCAAGCAGCAGCAGCGGCTGAGCCAACAGGCGGCCGCGGAGGCACGCCCCCCCGCCCCCCCCCCCTTTGCACATTGTTCGTCCATGGAGATGTCTGCAAGCACGACCATTGTTGAGAAGGCACGTGCATCCATGGCTGAGCACTGAGCAGGCACGTGCGACCCCTTTGCACATTGTTCATCCATACATATCAATATAATTTACCTTATTGATTAGTGTGAGTCTTGCAAAATCTTAAACTCAGAAATACTCCACAAGGCAGGCTGCCTGGGTGAGTTGCTAATATGAACATAATGAACATTATACATTAGTGCAGTACCTATAAGTATCCATGCTGTGTGAAGGACTTGGCCCTCACGTTCATTCGTTTGGTGATTGCACATGGTGGCATGTGTACCAATTGTTCTCCCTAACCCTTCTTACAACTTTGACTAGCAAGTAGAAGCTGGCAACATGCAAGGAGCTTACAAAGCATGCTTATATGTAGATAACTGAGGATGATTCTCTCAATTGAAGCATGATCCACACTCATCAGCTTCTTCTGTTCTGTTCCACAAACTAAAACTGAAATGACTCAATTTTCCTCAAAATATATTCATTTATCACTTATAAACAACAAAAATATACATTAAGTAGGTACCAGGGCAATAAAAAACATAAAAGTTACATATTTTTTCATGTACAGTCCTTTCACAGCAACAATATGTTGTGAA